ATGTGTTAGATTATGATTTCTTTAAATGGCTGAGAAAAGAATTGTGCTGAATAGAATAACTATTTCTGTCTGTGTATCTTTTTTGTAACTTAAGGGTTTGCCGAGAGGGGTTCTCTATGTTTTTGAATCTAATTACCCTGTAAGATATCTACCATCCTGATTTTACAGGGGGGGTTTCTTTATTTCTATTTACTTCTATCTTTTATTAAAAGTCTTCTTGTAAAAAACTGAATGCTTTTTCATTGTTCTCAGATCCAAGGGTTTGGGTCTGTGGTCACCTATGCAAATTGGTGAGGCTTTTTATCCAACATTTCCCAGGAAAGGGGGGGTGCAAGTGTTGGGAGGATTGTTCATTGTTCTTGAGATCCAAGGGTCTGGGTCTGTAGTCACCTAGGCAAATTGGTGAGGCTTTTTACCAAACCTTGTCCAGGAAGTGGGGTGCAAGGTTTTGGGAAGTATTTTGGGGGGAAAGACGCGTCCAAACAGCTCTTCCCCAGTAACCAGTATTAGTTTGGTGGTGGTAGCGGCCATTCCAAGGATAACGGGTGTAATATTTTGTACCTTGGGGAAGTTTTGACCTAAGCTGGTAAAGATAAGCTTAGGAGGTCTTTCATGCAGGTCCCCACATCTGTACCCTAGAGTTCAGAGTGGGGGAGGAACCTTGACAGCTCACCTGGGTAGATTTCACCTCATCTGTTCCCTGTCATTGCAGGGACCTCAGGCACCAGGACACTCACCATAGGTGGCAGGTAGCTAGGGCTATACAGGGGTTCATCCCCCCCCCCAACCACCACCCATGCACCTTTGGCAGCAACAGTGCTGGCTGCCCAGCAGGAGGATGAGCAGAGAGAGTCACTGGAGCAAGGCAGCAAGGCGAGGCTTGGGGGCTCAAGTATGGTGCTGCAGGCAAAGTCCATCCTGAGTGTGACCAGCACCCAGCCAGCCCTGTCACGGTCCCAGGGGCAGCGGTGGCCAGTCCCTCCCTCCCCGATGCAAGCAGAGCTGGGGCGGGGGCCGGCATGGGAGGGAGCGAGACAGCTCCCCTCTCAAAACCTTCCCAGCCCCAAACTATGTTCTCCCCACCACCCTCTGCCACTCCACCACCCCTTACCGCCCCCCGGGCCCTTCTGCTGCCCCCAACAGCCATATCCATCTACCCTACAGATTAGCCCAAACACCCCCAACTCCTCGCTGCACCAATCCCCGTGTCCCTTCAATTGCTCCAGTCCCCTATGACTCGCCCACTGGGCCCCTCACCCCATTAGGTCACCGGTCCCACGTAACACTCCAAAGTGAAGATGGGATGCTGATGCCAGGGCTTTCTCCCCACCTCTCCATGACTTCTTGGGGGGGGGGGGGAAGGGTCAGATGGGTAGGGCCCCCCCTTCAGAGGAGCCCACCAAACCTGTATGTGGCAACACAATGGGCCAGAGTGGGGACATGGGCCCAGCCCCATGGTGGGATGAGAGTGGGGCAGGCTTGCTCTCACCCCCACAGGGAGTCTCCCCTCCACACCAGGCCAAGAGAGAGACAGCGATTCCCCTGCCCCCCCCCCACCTACACATGCCAGGGAGGGGTTGGGGGCTGACCATTTCACTCAGCCCCCACAAGAATATTTTCACAAGCCACCTATGCACCTCGGTGTCTCCCTCTGACACACCTTTTGCTCTCCTGAGGACTGAAATGGTTTAGTCTAAAAATCTCTGGGCTTAATATAGAATCATAGACATGCAAGGCTGGAAGGCACCTTGAGAGGTCACCTCGTTCATCCCGCTGTGCTGAGGCAGGGCCAAGTACACCTAAATGTGACAGGTGTTTGTCCAACCTGTTCTGAAACCTCCAATGATGGGGATTTCACAACCTCCCTTGATAACTTGTTCCAGTGCTTAATTATCCCTATAGTTAGAAAGATTTTCCTAATATCTAATCTAAATTTCCCTTGCTGCTGATTAAGCCAAATACTACTTGTTCTACCTTCAGTGGCCATGAAGAACTATTCATCACAGATCTCTTTATAATGGCCCTTAACATATTTGAAGACTTTTATCAGGTTCCCCCCTCAGTCTTCGTTTCTCAAGACCAAACATACCCTGGTTTTTAACCTTTCCTCATAGGTCGGGTGTTAAAATCTTGTAGTGTTTCTGTTGCTCTCCTCTGGTCTCTCCAATTTGTCCACATCTGAAAGTGCGGCACCCAAAACTGGACACTGGTGAGGTCTCACCAGTGCTGAGTAGAGCAGGACAGTTACCGCCTGCGTCTTACATACATCACTTCTGTTAATACACCCCGGAATAAGCCCCTTTCACAGCTGCATCATGTTGTTGGCTCATATTCAATTAAGGATCCACTGCAACCCAGAGATCCTTTTCAGCAGTGCTACCCCCAACCAATTACTCCCCATTTTGTACTTTTGCATTTGATTTTTCCTTCCTACACGGAACACTTTGCACTTGTCTTTATTGAATTTCATCTTGTTGCCTTCAGACCACTTCTCCCATTTAGCAAGATGATTTGGAATTCTGATCATAAGAACATAAGAATGGCCATACGGGGTCAGACCAAAGATCCATCTAGCCCAGTATCCTGTCTTCCGACAGTGGCCAATGCCAAGGGCCCCCAAGAGAATGAACAGAACAGGTCATCATCAAGTGATCCATCCCCTATCACCCATTCCCAGCTTCTGGCAAACAGAGACTAGGGATACCATCCCTGGACCATCCTGGCTAATATCCATTGATGGACCTCTCCTCCATGAATTTATCTAGTTCTTTTTTGAACCTTGTTATAGTCCTGCAAAGTGCTTGCAGCCCCTCCCAGCTTAGTGTCATCGGCAAATTTTAAAAGCATACTCTCCACTGCATTATCCAAGTCATTAATGCTGAATGCTACCAGACCTAGGACTGACCCCAGTGGGACTCCATTAGATGGATCCTCCCAGTTCGACAGTGAACCGCTGATAACCATTCTTGGAGTACAGTTGTGCACCTACTTTAGAATAATTAGACCACATTCCCCTAGTTTTCTTATGAGAACATCATGTGGGACTGTATCAAAAGCTTTTCTGAAATCAAAGGTATATTATGGCATTCGGGTAAAATGTAACGGCCTGTGAGATACAGGACATCAGACTAGATGATCTAATGATTCTTTCTGGCCTTAAACTCTATGAAACTTAATGAATTAAATTTAAAGGAAATACGTGGATAAGACTGATAGATCAGAAGGAAGGAAGGAGTTTACCCCGATACTGTTGAATCAGCTGGGATTTGAGAGTCTCTGTTCTAGTCTCTGAATGCACGTGCTTTTATTTCTTTATGCCAGTCTGCTACAGAATCCTTTATCTCCATGGTGTATGTAGGAGGACAATGAGAAAATGGCCCGTAATCACACGTTACCTGAAATAATCAAATAGTCCACAGAATTTGTCGACGACTGACAACAAAAAGACTTTGGCACCATGGATTCTAGTCACACCAAGGAAAGGGTGACTTTAAAAAGCCATCAGTTTGTGAGGATATTTGGCAAATGTAAAGGGTATTGAGCTTAGAGTACTCATTATAAAAACTGACTTTTTTATATGCACAGGCCAGCAGACAGGTCTCAAATCTTTACCCCTTCCTCACTCTCTCTGTGATGCCAAACCAAAGCTGGATTCAATGCAGTAGCCTAGAGATTGCAGATGGGCCTGATTTGCAAGGGCTTGAGACCGTTGAAGTTCATGGTCAAATTCCCAGAGGGCGGAGATGAGCTCCCATTGTAGCCAAAGGTTCAGAGTTTTCCTAGAGTTCAGGGGTGCTTGAAAAGAGGGCTTTGCTTGGGCCTATGGAGTGAGGGGCCAGGTCAGAATCCAGAATCTGCCAATGTTTAGAGCTGGGTTCAGGCTAGATGCTCAAAGCATGAAAATATTAAAAGAGATAAACTAGGAGTTCATAGGTCAAGGCCAAATTGAGCCCTGATTTCCACCCCCTGCCATCCCATTGAATTTGCCATTTACCAGCAAATAGCCCCCTACATGCGGGAACACGTACAGCCAAAACTGCTTCCGCTGCTTTCAATGTAAAGGCCAATGCCCCTGTATAGCAGTGGGATTGTGTGAGATACTCCACCCTGGGAGGGGCTGCTTTTGCATTATTTCCAGCCCAGGTAGATTGCTGGAACAATCTCACGCAATCTATGCCTTTTAAGATTGCCAGCGACATTCTGCAGATTCAAACTGTCACCTTTGAGCACTGATCGGAACTGAACTGTGAACTGCCTAGGAGCCTCGCCCAGGGCCAGATGATACCGTTCCGAGACTGCATGGCAGACTCATGTACTCCCCTCTCCATGCACCTGATATAACAAGTTCATCGGAGACAGATAGTGCTTTGCAAGGACAGACACTATATGACTGTTTATGATAGCAGGGACTGAGTTACATGCTCAGCAGTTGTAAAAATAGCCCTCATTGCTCCCCGAATGACTCAGCAAGGGTTCTTCCTGGAGGCAGCGATAAGATCATCTATTTCCTATTGCCACCTACCCATCCTTCTTGCCTGGATTAAAATTAAAAAGACAGGCGACTGCACACGGTTGGATCAAATCTGAGAACACGAGTTGTGGAGTTTGCGAGTTCTGAGTCCCGTCACACAAGAACGCATTTGTAATCAAGAACTGCTGCAATGTGTGAAGCCAGTCTTGTACAGTGGGGAAGTTGCAACAGCTGAGTTGTTTATTGTGATGTCGTTTTCAGTTGGGATGGGGTCAGAGAAGCATCTAAGTGCCGCAATGCTCAGGCAAAGTTAGCCAGGGCCCTCTGGTTGGGAAGCTCTCGATTCACCCAGGGGTGAGGGGCACAGGTGCCGATTTTCTGATTTCCCCGCGGGTGCTCGACTCCCTGCTCCGCCCCAGGCCCGGACCCACTCCAACCCTTTCCCCAAAGCCCCACCCTGCCCTGCCTCTTTCTGCCCCCCCCCGCCTCTTCCCACCCCTTCCCCAAGCGTGCCCCTCCCTCACTCCACCTCTTCCTGCTCCCACTTCTTTTGTGATGTACCTCTGTCTGCATCTCTTTGCCTCTTAGAGGGACCCTGTGAGGGCTCCCTGGCTATTTGGTAATGCACTGTAGGCACGTGAATCATTAAACACAGCTGACCTATGATTAACAGCGGGGTGGGGGGGGGACGGAGAGGGGATGAGGGAAACTTCTCTTTACTTGGAATCTAGCTTTAAAGACTGGAGTTCATAAATCAAGAATGACCCTCGGAGGTGGGAGGAAACACGAACAAGCTAAACTCAAAGTACCCTTCGGCCCTGCCTCTGTGTGACTAGAAAACAATTGCGGGACAGATCCCGGGCCATTCTAGAGGGCTCCCTGGCATGGGAAAACCCTCAGGTCGTGGCATAGATATAGCTTTGCCTGCCCTCTGATGCCCCTTTTTGGTCTCCCCTGCCCAGGAGGTGTGGCCTGAACATGCCACATTCTGGTGACCTCTGGCCAGCGTCACGGCCCTTAGATTATCATCGCATGCCGGTGTAACTTAGAGCAACCTTCAGTCTGCTCTGTTACCTGAGGGGCCAGACTGGCTCCCCTGGGGACCAGGGGAGTGGTGAGATGACTTAAAGCTCCTGAGGATTTTAATGGTTTGTGCGTCCTGCCATCTCGTATCAGGGAGAGGGGAACCTGTGGTTTCCTTTGGACAGGAGGGCTGATTAGTCTGGTGATTGACAGATCATACTCTGGGGCTGGATTCTGATCTCAGTTACATGGCTGTAAATCCAGAGTGACTCCAATGGCTCCGCAGAGTCACTCTGGATTATCACCAGCATAGCTGAGCTCAGGGTTCAGACCCGGGTGTTTAGCAAAGCGTATCTGCTGAGGCATTGTGCTGAGATGTTGTTTAGTCAAACGCTGGCATTTTCCAGGTTGCCAATGAAATGAAGGATTGGGAAACACCTACATCGATGCCCCTGGACTCTAAAGGTTATGAAAATACAACCAGATGGAGACAAAGTCCATCAGTTCAGGAGAGTGGAACACACACCTGTGCCCCAATGACCCTTGGCCACATACACTGCCAGTGTTAATGAAGGTAAAGGACAAGCTAAATATGCAAAAAGAAAAGGATATGGTTCACAAAGAAAAATAGCAACATGAGGATTTTGTTCACCTGTAGGCAATGCCCCAGTGCCCTCCACTCCCCGTGGATGGGAAGCTGCTGGCTGCAGCTGCTGCCTTGGTCACCAGGGCTGTCTGTTGCTAGCACTCGAGCTGCAGGTTTGCGGCTGATGGGATGGCTAGCCTGACTGTTGTTTGCCAACAGCTGTTTAAGCGGGGTGTGGATTTCACCCAGGGATTTTGCTTCCGTGTCTTTCAGGGTGCTTCGTTCTAGAAGAGCCGCTCTCTGATGAGGATCTTGGTTTGCATGGCACATTCCTGGAGTCCGGAAGGCCACCCTACCTTCTCCCAGGTCCCGCTTTGCATGTTGATCTCCTGGCACTGATTCTATAGAAGGTACATAACAAAGGGGGAGATCAAGATAAGGGCACCGTGTGTTTAGTCCCTCGCTTTGTGGGAGCAAACAACGGGATCCACACAAGAGGCGCCTCTGCTTTTTCTCTCCCCAGCTGTCAATTTAGGGCTGGATGAAGGTTTGAGGCGGCCGGAGCGGAAGTCTCAGCAGGACGGGGTGGCACAGGGGCTTCCGCAGCTTCTGCTGAAAGAGGAGGAACAAAGGTGCTTTCCAGCAGTGGTACCTGCCCTCCTCTGCGGCAATAGGTCACCTCTGCCATTCAGTACATACCAGGGCTTTCTGCAAAGGGAGAAATGGCCCACCTAGGGTCAGATCCTCAGCTGGTGTAAACTGGCCTTACTCCATTGACTTCTGCAGAGCAACACCAATTTACACCAGTGGAGGATCTGGCCCCTAGGTGCTGAATTATCCTGCAGGAGCCTTACAATTCCCCCTCTCCTGCACGGAGCGGGTATCTCGCCACAGGGGCTCAGTGTTGTCCAGTGGGCTCAGTGTTGTCCAGTTGTGCATTCTCCACAGCAGGGCAGGTGGGACTGTAGGGCCCCAGGCCAGTAGTTAACTAGGTGTTAACCCACAGTACTCACAGGTGTTTGCTTCCCTCCATTCCTGGCCCTGCAGCTTTTTGTCCTGCTTCATGCTCAGAGGTGGCTACTGAATGAGTCAAGCTCCCCTTTAAGGGTGTTCGTGATGCGGTGAGCACAGCCCTACCCCAGGTCAGGGGTACCTGGCTGGAGATAAAGCAATCACGGCAGAGAACAGCTGGTTGATCCTCTTTTTTTTTTTTTTTTTTGGCAAAACATATTTCCAATGAAAAATGACGAAAAATGTTCATGATGCTTGAAACTTCCTGTTGTTTTGAAGAATCAGAAACCACCACAAAAATCAGCATTTTGAAAACTGGAACGTTTTTTCAGGAAATGCTTCTGGCAAATGACTCCTTCCCCCCCCGCCCCCCCAATTTCTCAGGAAAAAATCATTTGTGTTTTTCAACCAGCAGATCCAGTTGTATCCCCCTTCTTCCCATCACTCACAACCACAGAAAGACCAACACTGGAGCATTATATCCGGTTCCGGTGCTCAGAATTTTAAAAGGATATTGAAAAATTGGAGACGGCACAGAGAAAAGCCACAAAACTAATTTGAATGCTGCGGAAAATAAATACTTTTACAGTGAGAGATTTAAAAAGTTCAGCCTGTCTTGCCTGTCAGAGAGATGGCTGAGAGATGATTTGATTATAGTGTCTAACAACCTTCACAGGGAGAAAATACCAGATACTAAATGGTACCTAATCTAGCAGAGAAAGGTCTAACAAGACCCAGTGGCTGGAAATTAAAGCCAAACAAACTCAAATTAGAAATAAGACACAATTTTTTAACAGTGCGGGTGATCAACCATTGAAATCTGACTATCAGAAGCTGGGACTGGACAACAGATGGATCACTTGATACATTGTCCTGTTTTGTTCATTCCCTGTGAAGCATCAGGCACTTTCAAAAGACAGGATACTGGGGTAGATGGACAATTTGGTCTGACCCCGCAGGGCCATTCTTATGGAACAAACACTCCCGGGAACTGATGGATTCTCTGTCTCTTGATGTTTTCAAATCAAACTGGGTGCTTTTCTAGAACTTGAGCTTTAGCCAAACACAAGTTACTAGGCTCAGTGCAGCACTGACTAGCTGAAATTCTGTGTCCTGTATTACAGTACAATAGTAGGTCAGACTGGATGATCTAATGATCCCTTCAGGTCTTGATAGGAATATCGAAGAGATCCAGATGGATTTTTTTCTTCCGGGGGATCACTGAAAAAACTCACCTCTCAGGTCCTCCCGCAGAATGTTTCTGGCTGGTGTTCACGAGAGAGGCAGATGAAAGCACAGCAATTAGGAAAATACCCTTTTTAGATTTGCGAATGGAGTCAATTTGATCTGGAAGCTGCTGAGAGAGAATAAAATATGCCACCCCTCTTTGTCAGTGCCCTTTGGCTGAGAAAAGCCGCTCTTGAACACAATTTCATCAGTGTTTCAAAGCTTTATGGCTTTTTATTGGTGGCTATTTTTCAAGCAGCTTGGGCCATAAAAGTGAGCAGCTCCCAGCACGATGTGCTCGGCTAAGCCTCTGATATTCCAGCTGACCACTTCAGTGCTCTGTTTCCCTTCCCACCAGCGTGGGCCTCAGTTAAGAAGATTCATCTGCATAAGAAGACGGTGTGTGGCTGGGTCTCTCCCAGACCATCTAGATCAGCTCCTCTGCTGCAGCGCCATTGTGTTATTAGTCACAGCCTTCACCGGATTTGGAGGTTATATATCTAAGACGCTACAGAGAAGAGTACTTATTCTCTGCTCCATCACACCGGTGTAACTCCACTGATCATAGAATCATAGAATATCAGGGCTGGAAGGGACCTCAGGAGGTCATCTAGTCCAACGCCCTGCTCAAAGCAGGACCAACACCCACTAAATCATCCCAGCCAGGGCTTTGTCAAGCCGGGCCTTAAAAACCTCTAAGGATGGAGATTCCACCACTTCCCTAGGTAACCCATTCCAGTGCTTCCCCACCCTCCTAGTGAAATAGTGATTCCGAATATCCAACCTAGACCTCCCCCACTGCAACTTGAGACCCTTGCTCCTTGTTCTGTCTTCTGATGTTGAAGACCCAGAGCTCCATGTGGTCTAAACCAGCCTCACTCTATTGGCTTTAATGACATTACACCGATGTAGCAGAGTAGAGAGAGGTGAAGGCTGGTTAGGGTGCTAGCTTGGGAACCCAGGTTCAATCACTGATCCTGCCACAGGCTTCCTGTATGCCCTAGGCAAGCCACTTAAGCTCTGATGCTCCCACTGGTTTCAGATACCTTGAGGATCTGGGCCTTAGTCTGTCAATGCTTCTGTTTTCCCATCTGTACAATGTGGATCATTGCACTTCACAGGGGTGTTACAAAACGAACACATTGAAAAGCGTGAGATGCTCCTTGTTGTGTGGGGATGGGGGCCATATAAATATCTCAGGCCCTCAGAGTCAAATTCTCCCTTTAGTTACACCAGTGTAAATCTGGAGTAACAGTCATGAAATCAGTGAAGTCCCTTCAGATTTACACCAGCTGTTTCATTCTCCTCCCCCCCCCTTTTTTTTTCACCTTCCATTGTCATTCACACCTGGGAAATGTTTCTACTGACTCTTTTCAGAGTAACAGCCGTGTTAGTCTGTATTCGCAAAAAGAAAAGGAGTACTTGTGGCACCTTAGAGTCTAACCAATTTATTTGAGCATGAGCATGAGCATCCGATGAAGTGAGCTGTAGCTCACGAAAGCTCATGCTCAAATAAACTGGTTAGTCTCTAAGGTGCCACAAGTACTCCTTTTCTTTCTACTGACTCTGGGCATGTGCAAATTTTAGTTACTGGGCATGTGCAAATTCCCCTCTGTTGTAGGTTTTATGTGCAACACGCGGTAAAGAAACAGGTCTACACAATATCCTCAACCAGGGCTCAGTCCAGCGGCCATTGAAGTCAACGGGACATTTGTGAGCAGGATCGGACCCTAAATATAAGGGTTCTTCCCCACTCTCTGCAATTATGAACACTCATTTTCTATACGAAAACACCAACTCCTCAGGACTACCTGAATTTATATGCAAGACCTAAGAATACAGTTACAAGGCTCAGCTACTTTCCTGTTTGTTCGTGGTGGTAAATTTTGGCAAAGCCAAGGCCCACCCTGTGTATTTTGGCCCTGGCTTTACACATAAGCCACAACTACCAATAGCCAAGTGAAAACAAAGCAAAATAGTCCAACTCTCCCACTTAGCTCATTGAGGTTTTGTTATTTGACTCCGTTTCTGGGAATAAGTCTTGCAACACTTCTGGTTTACAATGCAATTGACAAGCTTGTTTATGTCAGGCCAGTGGCTACTAGTGATTTCCCCCACAGATCAATAAAGCCTGGGGCTGCATTAAGCAGTATGCAGGGAAGATGTGGGTACAATCCACACGCCATCACAGTGAAATCGGCAGAGGAGCAGCAGAAAATACTTTTTCTAAGATGGAACCTTCGTTTCTGTGAAAAAAGAAACCACCATCCAAGGGCAAGGAAGAAACTGGAGGACGAGCGATTGTTTTATTTTCCAAAGCTTGTGTGAATGTCGGCTCAAGAATAGGAAAGCGGGTCAGGAGGCCTATTGATGTGAGACATATTTGGGCCAAATCCTTAGTAATTTACACCAGCTGAGGATCTTCCCCTTTATTCCTGTTGTTCGGTTGGGTGGGTTTTTATGCTTAAATGCCAAAGAAATTCTGCACTTAGTACAAATCCCAGAGGTCTGTTCAGAACAATAAAATGGAAAGGATTGCTTTTCGTCTTGCAGCACTTTCCTTGGTGGTGCGCATACATGTACAAACGCACTCAGAGCCTCATTGTTTCCTCATTTACACCAGAGGGGTAAATCCCCTCAGTGGAGCGAATCAGAACCGCACATGCTGACAGACACAGTCACCCCAGCCTAGACTGTCAAATTGGACCCAGACCACAAATGCTCAGGACAGGAAGGTTGGTCCCAGTGTTAGCTGGAGACTACAGAGAGCCAGGTTCAACTTTCTGCTCTGCCTGAAGCTTCCTGTGTAACCTGGGGGAAGTCACTTAAGCCCAGATTTTCAAAGGTACTTAGGCTCCCATAAAGAAAAGGAGTACTTGTGGCACCTTAGAGACTAACCAATTTATTTGAGCATGAGCTGATGAAGTGAGCTGTAGCTCACGAAAGCTCATGCTCAAATAAATTGGTTAGTCTCTAAGGTGCCACAAGTACTCCTTTTCTTTTTGCGAATACAGACTAACACGGCTGTTCCTCTGAAACCTGTCATTAGGCTCCCATGGATTTCAAAGGGATTTAGGAGCCTAAATACTTTTGTGGAACTGTTTCTCATCTGTGATGTGGGGCTAATAGGCCTGCAGTACCTCCCAGCGGCATGGTGATGACCCAGCAAAGACAGTGGGTGTTGGCCCTGCTTCGGGGGGGAGGGAGAGCTCAGTGGTTTGAGCAGTGGCCTGCTAAACCCAGGGTTGTGAGTTCAATCCTTGAGGGGGCCATTTAGGGATCTGGGGCAAAATCTGGGGATGGGTCCCGCAGGGGGTTGGACTGGATGACCCCCTGAGGTCCCTTCCAGCCCTGATCTTCTGTGATGCTGCGCTCCACACCCAGAGCCAGGCTGTAAGCAGCAGCAAAGCGGACCCTGAGTATGCAGTGCTGGGCGGGGAGGGGGAAATGATCCGCCGGCAGTAGCGGGACTTGTGCAAATGTGCAGAGCCTGGAAAAAAAGTGTAAGTCACCCATTCGCCTCGATGGGCCCTGCGCAGCTCCCTCGCTTCACAGCCCTGAAGCGCTTCCTAGCGGGCCCGAGGAGCAATGTAGCCTGCGGGCCACGGAACAGTTTAAATCCCCCTCCCGGGGGAAGCGCGGCGCCAGGGCCAATAGACCGCGGCCTGGTGCCCTGGGTCTGTCGGTTCCCTGCGCAGCCTGAGCCAGCAAAGCACCCGGGCTCGGATCCCGCTCTTTCTCAGCCCCCCCTTTAAACAGCCCCCCCCCTGCACCCCCGCTTCCACAGGCCGATCCTCGGCCCGGTCAAGAGCCCCCTTCCCTCCCCAGGCGCAAACTTCAGAACTGGGGGGGGGGGGGGGATAATAATAATAATAATAATATAAGAATAAAACCCCAACCCACTCAAAAATATCCTGCTCCCCCTTTCCCAGGAGCCGGTTTTCGAAGGCAGCCACCCCCTCCTCCGAGCCCACCCCCTTTGCTCGCCTCCAAATTTTGCAAAATCTCCTAGGGGCGGAGGGGGATATTACCCTAGAAGATCTGTTTCTGTTTCCAGCCATGCCAAGCCCCCGGCCCGCATTGCATTGTATACGCGGGGCCATGTGGTTCCCGTGCAGCCCCTCTGAAAGAAACCCCCCTATCAGGCACGAGCTGAGACCAGCGGGGAGGACTGGCTGCTGGGGGGTGGGGGGTGGGGGGGGAGGTGTGGACAGCTAGCCCTGTGGTTCACGGTCTGAGGGTCACATGGTGGCTGCCACTAGCCAATGGGATCCTGCCCATGCTGGTTCTTATACCTGCCTCTTTGCTCCAAAACCACACACATTCCCTGAGATCTACTCAGGCTTGCACAGAGGGGGAGCAGAGAGAGGAAGAGTTTGCATCAAGAGCCGGATTATGTCTCTCTCTCTCTCACATACACAGGAAGCCCTGCTCTACCTTTGCAGGGAAAGAGACCCTTTTCATAAACGAGCTGAAGGCACCCATTCACAGCCACGGGGAGCTATATATACCTAGACGGGCAGAGCAACCCTAGAGATATTTCCCTCTCCAAAAAATAAAAGAGAAACGCACACAGCTCCACTCTGCGAAAATCTGAGGCTTTCCCCTCCTGCTCTCCAAAGATCTAGATCGCTATTTTCTTGCAACTATCACCCCTTTCAAAAAGAACAAAAACAAAAATCACCACCCCTGGCAGAAGCCTGCTGCTTCTGCAAAAATAAAATAAAACCCATCAAATGATTTGATTCTCCAAGTTACAAATATATCTATCTATCCCCAGCAACAAAATTAAATCGGGGGGCATTATTTCGTTATTATTTAACTCACCACCACCACCCCCCAAAAGAAAAACCCACCCCCAGTATAAAAGAAGAGCTGCTCCGCTCTCTGTCCTAGACTCCTAACCAAACCTCGAGCCTTTGCTCAGGGGAAGACGGTGCCTTTTCTTGCAGCTTTATGAATGAAACTGACAGACAGCTCGGAGTCAAGTTCCTGCAGTGAAACTAACAAGCTGGTAAATTTCATCGGTGCGGGTTGGTTGGGGGGAGGATTTTAGTACAGGGCGGGGGGGGGGAGGCGGGTGGAAAAAAAGGAAGTTCTAATGTCCCGATTGTCTTGTCTTGTGTGTGAGTGTGTGTTGGTTGAAGCGGCAGGGTCGGTGTGTTTTGAAGGCAACAGTACAAACTTAGTCTACCCTGGGAAGCTGGTCGATTCTCCCCGGTGAAAAGTGTACGGCCCTTCTCCTTTTCCTTTCTTTAAATCCCCTCTTGTCTGGGTGGAAGTAAACAGACCGTCCGCATGTTCATTTCCTAAGCGAGTCTAAAGCAACAGCAGCGGCAGCAAGCGGGAGAGAGAAAAGCAGCAACTTTGACTTTACTGGGCTGGGGTGATTTGATTCTTGGTCGAGGACAGGGCAAGAAGCGTGTGTGTGTGTGTGTGTGTGCAAATGGAAAAGCGCAGATTTTGGAAAATCTCATGGAGTAAGTGAAAAGAGTTTTTACTGCAACATGTAAAATAAACTATTTAAGGGGGAGGGGGGGAAGAGCAGCTCTTCAGTCCATACCCAATTGGCTTTTTGAAACTGCAGATCCTTTGAGACAGACAGTGAGAGAGAGAGAGAGAGAGAGAGAGAGAGAGAGAGAGACAGAGAGAGGCAAAAAAAAAAAAAAAAAAACCCTGAATTTGTAACGAAAACACATTGCATCCAGGGAAGGTTGACAGAATAAACCTCTTGTGGAGCTGAGCTGCCCTGAAATATACAAGCAAAAATACCCAGCAGCACTCCTGTTTGCCTAAACGTAATTGCTAAGTGAAAATATTTCCAACTTTTTTTAAAAAAAATGTGACTTTCTGATTTGTTTGCTTGCTTAAAAAAAGCTTTTTTTTTCAACCCCCCCCCCCAACCTAAAAGATAAAATTACTAGATCTAAAAATAAAGCAGTGGTTAACAGCTCCCCCCACCCACTTCTCTCTCTCTTGCTGTGTGTTTGCCTTTGACAAAGAAATTATTTGAACTTCCCTCTGCCTCATAAAAAGGAAGCAGAATAGCAGTTTTGACATATGGATGTGATTTTTCTGCTCTGAGACAGATGCACACACAAAACAAACAGCACCAGGAACTGCTGCTCTGACTGAACTGGGTGTTGGTGCTCCCTTCACATGGACTTTTTCCCTACATTTCTGAAACTGCAGAGATTTCCAGCCATGAGAAAGCGAAGCAAAGGACTGGGGTTTCTTGTCATGTGCCTCTCTGGCTAAAACTGTGGAAACAAACAAGCAAATAAAAAAAAACAAACTGGGAAGTCAAGAAAAAGAAAAGAAAAAAAATCATCTACGACTGGATCACTGGAAGATCCTTCGTCCTTCTACTTCCCTTAGAGATCGTGGATGCTGCAATAAGTCTCTTGGATATGGGATCATATTTGGTTTATCACAGCCTGGGTTTGATCCTCTGCTGCTCGGTGTTGAGTTCTGTCTATGCTCTGGTAAGTTGCTAAATCTTTCTCCGGCACATTCTCGAGCAATTGTTTCCTTTAGCTGAGGCTGTTTCCTTGATGAGTAATTTACTGTATCAGGATTTAGAAACAGCAAAGCGCTGGCTTTTTAGACGAATGGTTGATTTTGCTGGCAGATCTTTTGCACTGAGTCCTTGCTGCTGTTAGTCCGAAAGCGGCTACGCCAGATGAAATTAAAATGACTGTACTTTCGGAAGAATTTTCATTACCCATTTCCAAATTACTTTGACACTGATTTGAGCCAGCTACTGGAAATAATTTCTAGGATCAGCCCCACTCCACCCACTACCGAAAAGCATCCTATTAATGGGGACAAAATGTTTGTCCACTGTTCCGGATTACAATGTTAGTCTTAATTTAATCATGTTCAAGCTTAATTTCAGCGAACAGTTGCTTTCTGCTCTGGGAGTGACTGTACAGTAGAATACTGGATCCGCTTTGCAGTCCAAAACGTCAGCGCATGGATGGCACATGGTTTATACTCAGGGGAATGAAAGTAGTATTAACCCTATATCATCTAAGAGTGTGTTTCATCTGTGAGTGTGTACACATATAATATAGAGCGATTTTGTATGGTGAGATGGCTCTTACATGAGGAGCTAATCTCTATAAAGACAACTATCTTCCTGAGTGGAACAAAAAGGTTTATGTCTCAGGGTGGTACAGCCAAAGGCGACTTGCTCTGCTCATCCTTATGGACGAAGCTAAATGTCACAAGGCATCAGGTTTTGTACATCAAAAACCACACTGTGTGCTCCGTCAGCCACTAGATACAAGGCTGTTACATGCGTCTTCCTCGCCCTGGCGTTGTTATTGCTGATCATGTTTGATGCTGGGCAAATGGGTAAGGAGGTCTGGGGTGACTGCCTACGGTCATGTCCGCTTTAGATGCAGACAATGAACATTGCTTAGAATGGGATTTAGTCCCCTGGCCCTCACTCAAAAAAAATGCCTGTTGAAATTCACTGGGGAGTTTTGCCTGTGTTAAGGACTTGGACCCATTGCTTGGGGGTGCGGCAGAAGGTTCTGCATAACGTAGCTTTATATTTTGTTGGTGTGTTGTGTTGTTGGTGTGTTGCCCATGCAATGGCTGTGAGTGAAACAAGAAAAACCAACCAGCACCACAGACATTCAGACTATCCCTAGACTCGCCCATCTCTGCCTCTTGAGGGATAGGAACTTAGCCGTATTTGAAAGAAAATCAGTGCACCGTTGCAGAGATGTGCCAGCCGTGGGCCAGTGGCTGTAGAATGCGTGGGATTGAAACGGCTGATGTCTGATCATGTTTCTTCTCCCTGGGTCCATAGATGCTGGAACTAGGGGTGCACTGCACCCCCTGACTTGAAGTGGTTTCCATCATATACAGGGTTTACAGTGGCACCCCCACTATAAAAATTGTTCCAGCACCCCTGCCTGGGTCTGATGTTGAACAGACCAAAAGCCAGCATTGTCTGTGACTTCCAGCCCACTTGGGGTTATATGATTATAGTTAAATATGTGCCACCTGCTAACATCACATTTCTCAGACCTGCTCCAATAGAAGTCAACAGCAAAACTCCCATTGACTTCAATAGGGGCCCCCGGCGGGTGTTGATGGAGTATGGTGACTTGAATCTGCTACATCTGTGTTGCCACAAATGCTGGGAGCGAGCATGGGCAGGAAGATATGCTGTGCTGGCCATTTCAAGCCTCCCCTGCTCCCCACCACACTGACACACACTGATTCTGCTACCCATGCGCTGCAAAAGCCTTGTGATCACAGGGTTAACGAGCAAACAGGCTGTCTGAGTTCTTGTGGCTTTTTAATGGCTATTTTACCAGTGAATTATTCATTGACAGAGACCGGAGCTAGAGAGAAACCCCAGCAAACAGACAACTTCAGTTCATATACTCTGGGATTAACTCTGCAGCATTGCCCAGAGACGGAGATTCTGGCATGGGACTCTTGTTGATTGTGCTGGTACTCAAAGTTTGATTCTGCTCACGTGCTGGTATATATCAAGAATAAGTCCACTGAAGTAAACGGAGACACTTGCGTAAGTGCAAGAGACATCAGATCCGCTGTCCTTTCAGGGGGATCTGCACTCTCGCTGGCTCTTAGCATTGTCACCGTTCACTCTAGTTGCATGCAGAGGGCCAGATTCACTGCTGTGTTACTCCAGTGTCACTCTGGTGTAATTCCATTCATTTCAATCAGGCGCATGCGGAGCTGCAGGTTCAAAACACCTCAGCTGCTCTTAAAACACTTCAGCAAAGACAGCTAAGAAAGTTGCCTGAGGGACTTCAAAACTGCCTTATAATCCATTGACTGGGAAGAAATTCTTTATTCCTCTCACCTCCTACTTAGGAGGAACACAGGGGTTATGATCCTGAGTGTTAAAAGCATGTCGTGTTGCTGAACTGCAACCTGCAACACAGAGCCGAACTTTATCTCTGTCGGGGGCCCAATTTTTAACCTACTCTGAAAACGAACATGAACAGTGCTGTGTGGTAGTAGCAGCTTGCATTGACAGAGTGTCTTTCATTGCTCCAGCACGGCAGTGATAGGGGCCATATATGTAGTTAGATAGAAGCTAAAGGATTCCAATATGTTTAATAGACTATTCTCAGGCAGGAATCACTGAAACGCAGCTACCTCTGGGGTGTCTGGCGGTGATCACACGGCATAACAGCAACGGATTCGGGGCAAGAGATATTTTGGCCACAGACTCTGGGACAGATCTTTGCTAAAAGTGGCATGTGACCTTTAATGTCCATGCCCAGCAGATGGGACCTTGGTTAACAGACTCCCAGCCAGCGAACTCGGTTTATCAGTTTCCAAAGGACAAGGGGCTACACTGAACGCCCAGGATTTGAAGCTGTGGCTCTGGAGAATCCAGGGACTACGTTCTGATCACTTTGACTTCACTGGGATTTATCCCATGGAAGCTGAGATCAGTGCATGGCCCCAGGTATTTTAAACCAGATGCTTAGATCGCTAACCCATCCCCTGAAACTTTGAGTTAGACCAGTCATTCTCAAACTGTGGGTCGGGACCCCAAAGTGGATTGCGACACCATTTTAATGGGGTCATCAGGGCTGGTGTTAGACTTGCTGGGACCTAGGACAGAAGCCGAAGCTGGAGCCCCACTGAAGCCCTTGGGCTTTGGCTTTGGTGTGTTCCCTGCCTGGGGCAGCGGAGCTTGGGTGGGATCAGGCTTCAGTCCCCCCTCCTGGGGTCGTGTAGTAATTTTTGTTCTCAAAAAGGGGTCCCAGTGCAATGAAGTTTGAGAGCCCCTGAGTTAGACCATTAAAGAGTGAATGCAGGGGAGATCGAAATTAGGGCTGTAAAGGGCTATACAGTATGTTCTTCAGCACCTACATGTGACGGGCAACGTCTTGGCTGCCTGAACTGCTTTTCAATTAGCTTTAACGTTGTATACGGATAGGATCTTTCAGCCTCAATTGCAAGGCAATGGCATGAAATCTAGCGTGCGGTGTAAGGTAAGAGACAGGGCTCTCAGGGTTAAATACTCCTCTCTCATTATCCTGCTGCAACTCCACTGCGCCTGATTCTCCACTTATTGACATAGGTGTCTATCAGGAGTAACCCTGCAATGGAGTTGCAGCAGTGTAAAACGGATGCAGGTGACATCAGAATCAGGCCTGGTGACTTTAATGAGGTGGCGGGACCATCAGAGGTCTGGATTCTAATCTTTTACTGTCTGTGCAAAATAAGGCTTTTCGGGTGGAATTCTGCTCTTGGTCCCACTGGCATAAACCCAGAGAAACTGCACTGTTGTCAGTGGAGTTATTCCTGATTTACGCCCGTGCAGATAAGACCAGGAGTTGGCCCTTGTGCTGGGTTCATACAGGCTGGTGCGTTTGTGCCTGCATGGTGGAGATAAAGTTTATGAACTTTGCGGGACGGTCATACGTCTCCATATGGAGGGAGACGGTTTGGTCTGAGCTGCAAAGTCCTGAAAATAAGGGGTTTGTAATAGAAACGTTGCATGCACCAGAACTGCTGTGTGAGGGATGTCACTGACTAGAGCACAGGACAGGTGGAGACCTCAAACACTACACTTTAATCCTAAAGGGGAGTTTTAAACAACCCGCGAGAAGACTTCCCCAAAAACCACCACAATAAAAAAAGCCCAGGGATTTTTTCCAACTGTTTCCCCTTCTCTCTCTTTTAACCTGGATGCTTTAAGTGCATTTATCATCAGAAGAGATGCTCTGTCAAAAACCACTGTTGCTGCATTCCACATTTATAATCTCTCGCCTGGCTGCATGGCAGAGCAGCTCAATCGTTTTTGTAACTGTCAGCACCAGGGTCCCTGAGATTGGAAAATCTCGTCATGCTCTTTGGGCCGCTTGTGTTGTCAGCATCGCTAAAAAATCAGAAGTAAAAGTTGACAATTTAGCTGAGGTGCCAGGCAGGACAGACTCTTGTCCTGCCATAGCTTTTTTTATTTTAGGGTGCTTCATGATTTGCAGGAGTTTCTGGACCAGATTCCCAGACGATAGACACCAGCGGGGAATCTGTCCGTTTGTGCACAAATCAGCTAGGACTCAGTGTATCTAGGGCAGACTGATTTAAGGAGGTGTTGTTTTTACCTCTTTGCTTTTCTGATTCGAGCCATGTCTTTGTGGAATTTGGCAACGGGAAAGGCTAAATTACTTAAATTACAAGGTCTCTGGGCAAGGACTCTCTTTTTGTTCTGGGTTTGTACAGGGCCTAGCGTAATGGATTCCTGGTCTAAGACTGTGGAACCTAGGCATTATGGTAATGCCAATAGTAATCACAGAGTTGACTGATTGCCTTCTTCCTTAAATAATTTACAGCTAGAAGGAACGGATCATCATATTCCGTCCCCATACACTGTCCAAAAAATCACATCTAGAGAAGCTGTAATGCTCAGCTGTCCAACTTCATTAAAAAGGCAGCCCTGAAGTGCGTAAAACAATGTCTGAAATGTTCTCTTTTT